AAATGAAGCAAGATTCATCTCAGTAAGCACCTCACGCCAACATCATTGCTTGCGAGAAGGAAGACCAAGTTTCCCCATGAAGGGTCATTGGTGGTTTGCACTCCTTATATACTGAAGAGCAGAGAGCAGAAGATTCTCTCTTCCAGAACCTCTTCTTCCCTCTCCCTCCTTATGATTACTCAGGTCTGACTATTAATGATGCCATAGCTCTTCAGGCAGAAGGGAATAGATACCAGGAACATTCTTTTATCATCAAGGATATAGTGATAAAGAAGAAAGGTATGAAAGCTGATGTTCACTACCTATGAGCTTTAAAGTTTAAAATCAAAACTTCTTACTGTCATGCCTATATAAGACTAGAAACAATACTAGCTTAAAGACTTAATGCAAATCAAAATGGACCTTTTCTTACATAGAGCTGTGGAAGCAGCCTTTGAGGGCAGATACATCAACTTCACCACTGCCTTTACATTTCAAGTACACAACAATAGCACCAGCCCTGGACTTCCTTTAATATGATGTACCTCTTAAGTTATTCAAAGAGGTTTAAGAAAAAAGGAATGTCTGGATACACAGCTAACATTCCCATACCTATAAGTTTGCCCTTTTGAAATAGGACCATTATGCAAAAATTTGCCACTGTGACAACACAGCTGTCTGCTTAAAACAGCATCTGCATTTCAAGTACCACCAGAAGCTCAATACTCCACTACAGCCTGTTTTGAGTAAAATTTGATATTTACTGAATATACAGCTAAGATCTCCACACACTTCTTCTGATGTCTTAGAAGAAAACTCCAACCTCTCTTCCTATTGAAGAGCCATTTATTCACAGCTACTCAGCTCTAGGTAACCACAGCACACTATGCAGATACTCGGCATCAGAAACCAAGCTTATGGCATCTGGGAGATACACAGAGGAACTGGTCACATAACATATGAAGCACATCTGAGCAATAAGCTCAAGCCAGAAATCCAGAAAACAAATACTTAAAGCTAAAAATAGCTATTCTATTCTAAACTCCTAAATAGTTCATAGTTGCCTTTCAGGAGACATTATAAGCCTCTACCTCTTAAAGAAGAGACAAAACTTATTCCTGCTCACTGAAACACTATTAGAAATATTTAAGTTTGCCCAACTTCAGAGACTGAGACAAGAAGCTCTTTAAACACCTACTACTACACTAATGCAAACATCAAGTGTTGCTCTTAAGTAAGACCTACAAGGTAATACGGGAAGTCACTACATAAGCATCTCAGCTTCTAATTGAAAGACAACATTCATCCCAGTTTTTGTTTTTCTGTAGCTAGAAGATCCAGTGGAAAGTATCTTCCTCTGTCAATAACTGAGGTTCAGCTCAAGGAAAAAAGCTGATTTTAATGTATCCACTTGCAGTTGGGCCAATCTTTTTCCAAGCTGAACTCAACCCTTTTGCCAGTGAGCTATAAGCACTGTGTCACTTACTGAGTAATGTTTTTAGCCCCATTTCAACCTGGCAGTTTGCTGAGGCTCGTCAGCTATGATACAGTTAATCACCTTTTAAAACACATGCTGGCATATTTGTATCTCTACCAGAAGGTGTCTCTGTTAACATAGCAGTTAAGACTGCTGTGAAAACAAGTTCAGTGAAATGAAGTTCTCACACCAGTTACTGACACCTGCACAAGACAAGCACACTTATTTGGAGATACTCAAGTCCTAGTGAGCCAAGCCTTCACCAGAACTCCAGCTGGAACCAAGCTAAACCTGGTTTCATAATCTCATGTAAAGATGTACTTTATGCAATTTGATCCAGAGTTCTCCAAATAATGAGTGAAGTTATGAAATGAACTTGCATAAGAGATCTATGCAGCCAAATAACTACAAGCAAAACCAAGCCTGAGTATGAGGTGGCTAAGCAAAATGGTTTCTACTTTCAAAACCTGGAAGTCTCATTCCCCTACATTACCATAAGCTTACCCTAGGACAGTTTACTGCCATTTTCCTCCTCCTCCAGAAAACATTTTGTAGAGTCAGTGTACAAGGGAAGGGGCCATTTTTCACAAGACCAAAACCCACACAGGCTTTTTGAAGTAAGTGTTTCTGAAGTATTAGTCAGAGTACATAATTATCATGTTACTGCTTCACATGGGCAAGCTTTAACACTCAGATGTGATGTTTGGTCCAGACTATGTTAGCAAGCTTTCCTTCCATCACCTTGGCATATACATTTTTATATCTTGAGCATTGTGATATACTATTAGCAAGTTGTTTTCTGTTGGGGTTTTTTTTGTGTAAACTTGAATCTGAGACAGTTAAGTATTTTGAAACTAATCCACCACATTTTGTTCACAGTTCTAAAAATCTGTTCAACAGACACTCTCTTCTTCCTCCACAAGTAAATGGGAAGAAAGCAGTAAAGGAGGTTAAGCTTGCTCACCTCCATTTCTCTCATGCTGAAGACTTCCACTCCGCACTTTTTGCCACGTTCCACAAGATCCATGCCAAAAGACTCCATGATAACAATGGTGTTGAGTATTGGAGTTTCCCCCTTTTCCACACTGGTTAGCAGAAGTTTGGCCTTCTCAGGTTTGTCACAGAAAACCAATGACAAGTCAGCTGATGAAAGAGAATGACATTATCAATATGACGAGTTTAGACTAGATCCATACATACTTCAGAACATGGTAATGGAAGGCTCTTCTGAAGAAGGCTACAGTTTTGGCCTTAGTCAGCTCTGACATCATACATTCAGTTGCTGAACTACTCAAAATGTCCTACCTTTGTTCACAATGTAGGTAATTGCTTCAGTTCCCAGTGTATCATAGAGTGGGACCACCACCATGGAGAACGCGTAGCATCCCTGTTCAATGATAACCCACTGCACAAAAAGAAGAGATGCAAGTCACTCTGTTTGCTTATCATAACAGGCCTCCAAGAAAGACCTACATTTGATTTCTAACAAGGAAGCTAATAGGACAGAGCTCATTCAGACAAGTCTTTAAAAAAAATAATTGGCACTTCATTTCATTTGTTTACTTTCAAGACCTACAACATTTTTATCTGTGGAAGAAGAAAAAAAATAAACAATAAGGAGTTATGGGAAAGAATCCAATTCAATAAATTTCAACTCTGTCCCTAACAGTAACTTATTTTAAGTACTTTCAAAAAAACCAGTTAATGTTAACAGTCTCCTTAGTTTACCTATTAACAGCAAGAGACTGAGCAAGAATACAATATTTTTTTCTTGGTTTTAGGTTACTGAGGTAGCCAAAGCCTTCAATATTCTGTATTACCATGGTATATGAATCACTGAAGGACTTGCTCATGTCTTGACACACATTAAGTTTATATACACACACAATATTCTCACTTCTACATTATCTGCATCTTATTTGATGACCAGACATGCAACATGCAGTTAAACTAGAAGTCCTGTGGAAGGTCATCTCCAGAAAGTTTTTCAGCATTTATCAAGATTAAATTCCTTTAAAGAAGAATCATTAATCTGAGACTTGTATAAAATGCAACTACCTCCCTGTGAGCTGCAATAAGAAGGATTTGCCTGATAACAAGCATGGTACTCAATAAACATAATGGATATTGCAGCCTTATTGTGTGTGATGCAAGCTGACAATGCTTTACAGCAAGCCTGATTTCATCCAAAGTACCAGCAAGGTAAAATAGTCATGCAGTTATTTTTCCAGATAGCAGTTACTTGGTACAGTTTGTGAACAACTAGCTACACCAAAATACAGCGTAGCATGCAGCTTCTGAAGTGGGAGCCTCTGGACACATGAAGAAGCCAGTGGCAATACAACAATTCAGTTTTTCCCCCCAAAGAGTAACAAAAGTTTTCAGCCATGGTACCTTTATTCAGTTACAGGAACAAAGCAACATGCATCTTTAAGTTATCAGAACTTACAATTCAACAAGGCTTGCATTAACAGAAGTGCTTGTT